ACAGGCCCTGGCATGTGGGAAGACTGTAGGTTTTAGTTAGTGGTAGTAGTATGAGGCCTGACCCACAGGATGCTCTCAAGAAATGTTAGTTGTCATTAGCAAATTCACAGGATGGCTGTCATCAATGGGCAAAGAAAGGTCAAAGGAGCACAGGAGCAAGAGGGTAAGAAAGGAACAGAAGAGGCTGCAGTTAAAGCTTAGGAAGCTCAGATAGGTAGGGGATACAGGTGGGGGGACCTCAGGCAGAAGTCACCTCATAACCCAGAGACATGTGTCAGAACAGACTTTGGGCCAGAAATAGAAATCTCAGGCAGCCAGCCAATGGGGCTCTGGGTCACAGTGTGGACAGCCTCAGATCTGAGGACCAATGGTTTGTGACTCAATTCCCAGGCCAGATGAGGCTTCATCAGGTGTCCCTATGAAAAGGACTTGGAACAGAGACAGACACTGGACTGAGCTCCAGAACAGGCATCTTAGAGAGGCAGGCAGGCCCCGGGCTGACACCAGGTCCTCCAGCAGCCCTGAGCTCCGAGGCTGACGCCAGGCTCCACAGCAGTCCCAGGCCCTCACTGGGCAGCACCCAGCGGGTCTCAACCACCTCTGACCACCACATCCCTTGCTTGTCCTGCACATTGCTTGTGGAGCCCCCAGGTGAGTGGCCAGTTGACTCCTCAAGAATGGGACACCCTCACTGCTTATACTTTTTAAATTTTTGATTTGATTGATTGATTGATTGGTTTTTAAAGTTTTTTTAATTTTAAAAATTTTCTTATTTTTTTACTGGTTATATTTTTACATACCACCTGATTTATGCCAAAGAATATATACAACATATATGTTTCTGCTCACCCAATTTTTTTCCTTCTACCTGAGTTTTGGTCTTGGGTGCCAACAGACTATCTGCACGATTGATTCACTGATTCCCATGGCTCCTCGTTTCACACTGAGTGAAAGAAAAAACTCTTCCAATGGCTTACAAGGACCTCACGATCTCTCCCATTGACCTGTTCTATTCTCTCTGTGGTCTCCTTGCTGCCCCACAAACACACAAGACACACACTTACCTCGGGGACTTTGCACCTGCTCTTCCCCCTGCCTAGAATATATTTCCCTCAGCTCTTCAAATAACTGGCTCCTTGTCCCTCCTTCAGGGCTCAACTTCTCATAAATATCTTCTTCCCTCTGTGGCTCTGAAGATTGTCTGATCCCATGCCTACCTACACCAGGACTCTGTTAAAAATCTAAGATCTAGATGTTAGTCTCACCATATTTCAATTTTTCTACACCTCCTGGGCCCTTCCAGACCTTGAGCTTCCACCTGGCATCTAGGTCAGGCATCTAGGCATCTAGGTCCTGTTGGAAATGTTAATCAGAAGAACTTCCATTCTTTCCACCTTTCCACACTGAGGCAGAATTAGGGGTTGAATGCTGAGGTGTGGGAACGCTGCTCCTTGTCCACAGAGGCTGTCGCCGAGCTGAGCAGATGGAACAGACATGAAGTCAGAGAGAACAAGACAAAACAGAATCCTTTGTAATTTCCTGAGAGACCCTGGCAACTTGTTTTTTTGCCTTTATTTCTTTACCTGGGGAGTGAGCATAGCAATACTTTTCTCTCAGAGAAGGAGAGCACACGAACGTGTGCTCTTGGGCTCTCAAAACCAGAAGGTGCTATTAATACTGAGAGCTTCTGAAGCAAAGACTGTCAACTGGTCAAGTGGTGAGAGGATGAAGAGAGAAGAGCACCACTTGGGATGCAGTTGATACCAGTCATTTCCACCTGCCCACTGCTCTTTTATTTTAAAAATTAATTAATTAATTTCATTCTTTCTTTAAAATTAAAACATATAATAAAGCATCAGGATTTTCCTTTGGAGTATTATCCATTCTTTGTCTCTGAGGTCAACAACCCTTATGGTGGGCACATGCCACCATGGCCCAGCCAGTCAGGGTGCCCCATACCCCTCACTACAGTGTAGGGTTTAGGGATGCATACATGACACACAGAGTCAGTGCCTCCCTGGACTTGCTGTCAGGAAAGAGGCTTTTTCTCTGCAGGGCTGACTAAACTGGGAGTCTGTGAACCTGAATCTGCTGGGGGCTGCCATGAGGAAAGACTCTGCCTCAGACTGGAGCTGAGAGCTGGAGAGGGAGCCAACAATCTTGATGATGACTTACTTTGAGCTCCTGGATCTAGCTATTCCTGAAGCAGTTAATTCTGAAATGTTTGGTTTCATGAGCCAATCCTCTTTTTTAGCTTAAGCTATGTGAGTTGTATTTCTATTACTTGTAACATATCCCCTCTTCTGCCTGGATTGACCTCCACCATTGATTTCCAATGTCAAAAAACCACAGACTAGATTTTTAAAATCATGATAAAGTCAAATAGTATCATATTGTGCCAGATGCCAGTAGAGAGGCACATCAGGAAGAAAGAACAATGTGAAAACAGAGTAGCTGCTTGGTCAATATTTACTGAGCTGTAACTCAGTATGTCCTAGGCATCATTCTACAGCAGTATCTCCAATGAAGCCAACAGGAAGTTCTGGCTTCATGCAGCTTATGCTAAATGGAATAAAATTGAAGTTGAAATTTAATCAAATGTAAAATGCTAAATCTATATAAATACTGAATCACTATGCTGTACACCTGAAACTAATATAGTAATTTTTTTTCTTTTTTGTGCCTCAATAATTATGTGCTTAATTTGAACACAACAATTTTGTATTTTTCTCATGTTTCTTCTTGATAGATGATAAGCTGTTTGAGGGAAGGAATAATTTAATTTCCTTTTGCTTCAGTCCTCTGCTGTATCATTCAAATGAATGGTTTGAATAACATTTAAAATTTTTATAGCATATATAGTAATTTTTATTGTAGTATAGTCAGTTTACACTGTTGTGTCGATTTCTGGTGTACAGCAGAATAGTTCTATCATACATATACATACATATATTTGTTTTCATATTCTTTTTCATTACAGGTTACTACAAGATATTGAATATAGTTCCCTGGGCTATACAGTAGAAACCTATTGTTTATCTATTTTATATATAGTAGTGTGTATCTGCAAATCTTAAACTCCCAATTTATCCCTTCCCACCCTCTTCCCCACTGGTATCTATAAGTTTTTTCTCTATGTCTATGAGTATTTCTGTTTTGTAAATAAGTTCATTTGTCTTTTTGAAACTAATATTGTAAATAAGCTAAAAAAAAAAAAGCTTAAGCATCAAAAAACAAAAAAAAAAAGCCTGTAGGTACCAGGTACTTTTCAACTATTGGCTCATTTAATCCTCACAATAACCCTATGTTGTAGGTATTATTATTAGTGTTCATTTTGTGTGGAAGAGGAAACTGAGGCCCAGAGAGGTTAAGGCTTTGTGCCCAAGGTTACAGAGCTAGTAAATGGCAGCTCTGGGATTTGAACCCAGGACATCTGGCTTTCTTGACCACTATCCTATACTGCCTGGTAGAGCAGTTGGCTTTTTCTAAGTCTTCTCTATATGCCAGACACTGTTCTAATGGCTTTACATGCATAAAGTCACATAATTCTCAAAAAAGTCCATTTCACAGATGAGGAAACTGAGGTTTAGCAACAGTAGCAGAACTGAAATTTGAACCAAGACAGTATGATTTGTAAGAACACACTCTTTTTTTTCTCAGCTTTATTGAGGTATAATTGACAAATAAAATTGTAAGTTATTTAAAGTGCACAATGATCATCATAACAAAAAAATTTTTTTATTTCTTTAATTTTGTATCTATATGAGATGGTAGATGTTTACTAAACTTACTGTGGTCATCATATCATGATGCATGTAAGTCATATCATTATGCTGTACACCTTAAACTTATACAGTGCTATATGTCAGTTATATCTCAATAAAACTGGAAGAAAAAAATAAAATTGAGGGGAGGGTATAGTTCAGTGGTAGAGCACATACTTGCATGCATGAGGTCATGAGTTTGATCCTCAGTATCTCCATTAAATAAAATTAAAAATAGTAATAATAATAATAATAATAATAATAATAATAATAATAAATAAACCTAATTACCTCCCCCAAAACAAAACAAAATAAAAATAATAAAGTACACAACATGATGACTGTGAAAGAATTCCCCCTGTCAAGTTAATTAACACATCCATCACCTCATATACTTATCTTTTGCGGGGGGTGAGAGCGTTTAAGTTCTATTCTCTTAGCAAATTTCAATGACACAATACAGTGTAACCAGCTACAGTCACAAGAGTCTACACTTGAAACCCCTAGTGCCTACAGCCTCTAATGAATGAACGAAGGAATGAGGAGGGGTCAGAAAATAGAAACCAGGCCCAGAAATGAAGGACAGCAAGAGGCCCAGCCCTGAGGTCCCACATCCAGTTGGTGCTGGGTTTCAATCTTAATAAAGAGATGATCCCTGCTGCGTTCACTGACAGTGTGATGAGCCCTGCTTGCCCCGCCCCCACCCTACAGTCCGACAGCTGGACCTTTCCGTGTTCCCCAGCACCAGGGATCTTGCCAGGGTGACAATGATGAGCAGCACAGTTCAGAAGAATATAGGGAACAGAGACAGAATGAGAGGGTGGAGGAGAGGAGAGGACACGGGCAGATCATCATTGCAAGTATTTTCTCCCAGTCGGTAGGTTGTCTTTTTGTTTTGTTGATGGTTTCCTTTGCTGTGCAGAAGCTTGTCAGTTTAATGAGGTCCCATTTGTTTATTTTTGCTTTTATTTCTATTGCCCTGGTAGACTGACCTAGGAAACCATTGTATGATGTCAGAGAATGTTTTGCCTATGTTCTCTTCTAGGAGGTTTATGGTGTCCAATCTTACGTTTATAAGGAGACGGGCAGATCAGCGTGTGGAGCCGAGGAATTCTCCCAGCCCCCAGGGCTCTACACATCCCTCCACCAGTAATCTCATGGCCATTCCTCCCAATTCTGGAATTGCTCACCTGTCCAGGGGTAGGAATATACATTCCAAGCTTTCTCAATCAATACCAGGAAGTCGTGAGGCGCAAAGAGGTAGATGACAGCAGAGATCTTGCAGCTAGTGAGGGAGCTGGGGTAGAGGTCAGAGGTCAGAGCTATGTCAGGCTCCCCCTCCCCTTTCTCCACCTCCCTGACCCCCATCCTGGCTCACATTCACCTCTGCAGGTGCAGACTGGTCCCCTCACCAGGACTCCTCTAGCAGAGCTGCTTGGTCAAGACTTCAATGCCGTCATCACTTTCCTTGCTGGTCTGAGCCACAGAATGCAACTGTCCACCTGGTTTGGGAGGAGGAGGAGAGTGGGGTAGGCCCAGGCCACTCAGACAAAAGCAGCAACGTTACGTGGACACCCCCATCCCCAACATATACAGACACACTTTGTTCTCATTCTGAGGGGAAGCAGACATCAGCACAGACATCCCTAAAATGGTCCGGACTGCGGCAAGAGATGCAGAGGGCCTGGGGCTCCTTGTGAGGAGAGGGAGATTCCTATGAGGCATCTGAGGAAGCTTCCTGCACAAGAGAGCCTCTGACCCAGGCCAGCTCCAGCTGTGCCCCAAAACAGCTGACAAATTATTTTCCTTTTGAGCCTCAGTTTGTGTATCCGCAAAATGGGGATGAGGACTGTATTTGCCTGATGAGGCTATTGGGAGGGTCAAATCTATTGGATAACTGGATAGGGGAAATGATTCCTAGCCAGTGAAAAGGCAACACTAACGTAAAGAGTTATTGTTGAGAATCAGTGGAATTCTGACAGGGAGTAATGAGAAAAGAAATGTCCTTAGGAAAAGGATGATGTAAAGCAACACTATTTCTTCTTCTGTTTTTTTTCAATATGGCAGAATAATTCTTTGTGTGTGTGTGTGTGTTAGTTTCATATGTAGAGCAAAGTGATTCCATATATATATATATATATATATATATATATATTCTTTAAAAGATTCTTTTCCATTATAGGTTATTATAAGATATTGAATGTTGTTCCCTGTGCTAAGCAAGACTGTTTCTGACTCATTCATTCATGAATACTTATTGTGCACCTTCTTAGTGCCAGGCACCAGCTCTGAAGAAGAGGAACCAGAGGGCACTTACTCTAAGGTACAGGTGATTGAGGTCCTGGAATGCCACACTGAGGAATATAGACTGTTTAAAAAAAAAAAGAACATGGACTGTGTCAAATAGGCAGTGGGGAGCCATGTTAAGAAGGATGGTGACAGAGAGGATTTCCTTCAGACAACTGAAGAGTCTCCTGGGGGATGGCGCATCTCTTGCACGGAGTTGAGCAGCAGCCCCTGACTGGAGGGATGGTGGGGTAGGACCTAAGCAGAAGAGAGAACACTTTGGCCTCCCTGCCTGGCCCCCATGGTCCTGTCATCACCCCCCACCCTCTGCCCGTGGTCGGTCACTCAGCCTCCAGCCCTCATTTCCTCAGGTTTATTAAGTGCCGGTGGTCCCCTCCCCTAACCCTAGACAACAGAATAATAAGTAAAATATATAGTATGTTGGATGGTCCTATGTACTCTTTTTTGTTTGTTTGTTTGATTTTTGAGGGGGGAGGTAATTAGGGTTATTTATTTATTTATTTAAAAAGTCTTTAAATGGAGGTACCAAGGATTGAACCCAGGACCTCCTGCATGCTAAGCATGCATTCTACCACTGAGATATACCCTCCCCCTGGGCTGGTCCTATGTACCCTTCAGAAAATTAACAGGAATTTTAGCATGAATCACTCCCTAACTTCCTTCGGGTCTTGGCTTAAATGCCACCTTCTCAGTGATCCTTTCCTTAACAAACACTTTTTTTCTAATTGTTTATTTTTATTTGTTTATTTATTTTCTGGGGGAGGTAATTAGGTTTACTTATTTATTTAATTTTTAAAACTTTATTTATGTATGTATTTATTTTACAATATCATATTTTTAAAATTGAAGTATAGTTGATGTACAATATTATATATTACAGGTATACAGTATAGTGATTCACAATTTTTAAAGGTTATACTCCATTTATAGTTATTATAAAATATTATAGTTATTATAGTTATTATAAAATATTGGCTATATTCCCCATATATCCTTGTACCCTATTTTATACCTGATAGTTTGTACCTCTTAATCCTCCACCTCTATCTTGCCCCTCCCCCTTTTCTCTCCCCCCGGTAACCACTAGTTCCTTCTCTGTATCTGTGAGTCTGTTTTTCTGTTGTACTCACTAGTTTGTTGTATTTTAAAGATTCCACACGTAAGTGATACCTTACAGTATTTGTCTTCCTCTGTCTGACTTATTTCACTTAGCATAATGCCCTCCAAGTCCATCCGTGCTGTGCACCAAAAACTAATACAACATTTTAAATCAACTGTGCTTCATTTAAAAAGCAAATAAACAAACAAACAACCCATTTAAAATATGGGCAGAAGAACTGAATAGGCATTTTTCCAGAAGAGGAAATGCAGATGGCCAATAGGGATATGAAAAGCTGGCTCAACATCACCAATATCAGGAAAATGCAAATCAAAATCACAATGAGACACCATCTCACACCTGTCAGAATGGCCATCATCAAAAAGAACACAAATAGCAAATGTTGGCAAGGATGTGGAGAAAAGGGAACCCTTGTACACTGTTTAACCAACACGTTTTAAATTGCACGAGCCATGCTGAAATTCTTGTTCTGGTTTGTTCACTTGTAATTGTTTGTCTGCCCCCACTAGAATGTAAGCTCCATGAGGAAAGAACTAGTTAACCACGGTATCCGTAGCTCTTAGAATATCCCTTGGCTCAAGAAATACTTGTTGCATGAATTCTTTCCTCGGACACTTAAAACAACAGTAACAACTTTCCAAACCAGTTCTCCAGAAAAGAGATAACAGGATAAATTGCACAGAGTGGGTATGAACATTCCATGAAGTGATTAATTTTATAACGTAAGTGTTTTGCCAAAGTTGGAATGGGGACGTGTTCAGACGAGGACAGAACAAGAGGTCAGGGGTTATCTTCTGATCCCACAGCATGAACTGCTTTTGTAATCAGAAAAGCAAAGAAAACCTTGTTTTACGAAGAAAAGTACTTCTGGTTGACAGAGACCTGGGTTCTGGGTCCAGCCTCTGGGAAGAAGTCTCCTCTGTCAAGGCTGGCTGCTTGCACAGGGACTTGGGGGGAGTGGGGAGCTCTTGCTTCTTTGCTTGCTCCCCTGGGACTCCCTGAAGACCACAGAACTTTCTAGAAAGCTTGGGCGTGGGTGTCAGCACACCTGGTCTACTCCTGGCTCAGCTTGTGACAGGTGGTGAACCCATGATCCACATTTTTCCCTCCTACAGGGCTTTGGCAAATATTCAGTGTCATCACAAAAATCATTGTGGCTGTATAATATTTTTATATGAAAACCAAGGTGGAATTTCCCCCATAATCCTTTTACGCTTGTCCCATTGCTATTTAATCGGTGAGGGTTTTCGTGGCTGAAGTCAAGGGATGTCATTGAAGTTTCCTTTTCAGTTTAACAGTCTTAGGGGACTCAAGGTGCAGATAATCATGAGGACATAAGAGCAAGGTGGATGGAGTAGGTGGGTGGGGCAAACTTGGAAATACTCCGAGTCAAGGAAGGAATGAGGAAGTTTGGAAAGGACACAATGACACCTTAGAACAAACACATCCGTGAGAAAGGGTTCCTGTGTGCTGACTGTCCTGAAGAGTTTGGTGAGATCAGAGGATGAAAGGACTGAACCCCATTTTTCAGGTGGACAGACCCCAGAGTCCCCCTACGCCCCAGGGTGACACAAAGCTTGTGGGAAGTGGCCTAGAGCACACAGACTAAGAGCAGGGACGTTGTGGGTTGACAGTAAAGAATAGACAGGAAGTGGGGTAGAGCTCAGTGGTAGAGCCCTTGCTTGGTGTGCACGAGGTCCTGGGTTCAATCCTCAGTGCCTCTGTTAAGGGGGAAAAAAAAAAGAATAGACAAGAAGGACAGGAAGGCAGGAGTGAGGACATCTTGGCAGATACCAGAGCACCAAGGGGACATGGAGGCCAAGAAGATTCATGCTCTTTCTTGACTCTGCTCCTGAGAAACTCTGGGAAAAGGAGAGGAAAAAAACACAAACTGGCCTCTTCAAACACCTACTGCTGGCAGAAAAGGAGCGGGAAATATCAATCCAGTTAAACAACAGACAGATCACATTTCTTGCACACCTGAGCTATGTTTCAAAACCCTTGTTTTGTTTTGCTTGAGGTGGGGAAGGAGTTAATTAGGCTTATTTGTTTACTTATTTTTGAAGTAGGTACTGAGGATTGAACCCAGGACCTCATGCATGCTAAGCATGCGCTCCATCACTTGAGCTATACCCTCCCTGCTCCGTACCCTTGTTTAAATAGAGTGATCACATGATGCTCACTATGCATTTTACAACATTAACTCATTTAATCACAGCAGCAATCCTACATTGAATGTTATTGGCACTCTTATTTTACCCACGGGGAACAGAGGCATAGAAAGTTCATGTAACTGGCCCAAGGTTGCACAGATAGTAAGAGAGCTGGGACTCGAAACCACAGAGTCTGGGCCCATATCCCATGCTATCAGCTGCCACTTTGCCGCCTTCTTAAATTCTTTTTCAGGTACCTTCCTAAATGCTTGAAAGGCACAGTTTCCTTGCATTTTCAAAACCATTCCAAAAGGTGAGTGTTTACAGATGAGGAAATTAAGATGCAGGGTAAACAATAACTTGTCCCAGGTTACAGCCGAGTTTGCAGGCAGGATTTAGACATACATCTGGGGGACCCTAAGGCTGGCCTAGTGGCTCTTGCTGTGTAACAAATCAGCCCCAAACACAGTAGTATGAAACAACCATTTAATTATGCCCCCAGATTCTGTGGTTTGGGAATCAGAGGTGACTATTCTCTGCTCCACAATATCCCAGACCTCCTCTGGGAAGACTCAGTTGCTGGCGGTGACTTGACAGCTGGGGCTGGAACCATCTGCACACATGTCTGGAGGTCGGGGGTGGCTTTCAGCTGGGACTTCAGTTGGACTGGAGGCCAGAACACTAGCAACACGTGACCTTTCTATGTCATCTTTCATGTATGTTCTCTGGACTTTATCACAGCGGAGTGGCTGGGATCCAAGAACTTCTGAAAGCAAAGTAGACGTGCAGGGTGTTTTATATGATAGCTCCATTTCCGCTGTGCTCTATCAGTCAAAGTGGAAGTAGACATAGAAGTCGTCCCATGTTTAAAAGGAAGGGACATAGTCCTATGCCCCACATTTGATGGGGTGGTGTCAAGATCACACTGTAAGGAGACAAGTGGGGTGGGAACTCCTCCTGCGACCATCTTTCGTAAATGCAATTCTCAAACTTCACTGCACATTGGAGTCAATTTTCAAAGTCCCAATGCCCAAGCTCTACCCCAGACCAATGACTCTCTGGGAACCAGGAATGAGTATTTTCTTTAACTCCCAGGTGATTTTATAATGGGGCCTTCTCCCACATATGCAAAGCTCTTGGCACAGTGTCTGGCTTGTGAACAACCGTATTTTCACCCAAGTGTGAACATCGATGACTCTTCATACACAGGGTTATCGTAGAGAGTGCACAGGCCAACTTGAAAAAAGTTACAGTTAGATGTTTCTTTTCACAGTTATCTTCTAATTATGACAAGTGACGATGGGTTTCCATTTTTGGTGGTTCTGCTATTTCTTTAAAAAAAACCTTTAAAACTTTAAACTTAGAAAAGGTAAGAAGGTAATTTTTGAAATACTAAATGAATAATGGTGTAGTTCGAATGCACATGGGCAGAAATCACAAAAGTGCTGAGTGAAAGGTGAAGCTGGGAAAATCCTGAGGCAGGTAATCAATAGTGATGTCTATGACTATGGCTCTTACTGGTGTCACCTTTAAGAAGTGCTGGTTGAAAACCACCTTTGGGTGATTCTGAAATTTTAAAAAGTGTACATCTGAGAGCCCGCAGAGAAAGCAAATAAAGGTTCTCTGCAAGGAGCAAGGAATACTTTGAATCTTGGCCACCTGCCGGGAAATTTCCATAAGCTCCTGGGGGGAAAGAAAGATCAGTCAGCTCTCCAGCTCTCCAGCTCTCCAGCTCTCCAGCTCTCCAGCTCTCAGGAGGAACCCAAGAAATTGGGAAAACAGGTATTACATACAACTAGGAGACGACAGAGAAAGGGTGTAGGAAAGGAGGGGATGGAATAGAAGAGGGAGGTTCTGGAGGTTCTCATCCTGACTGGATCCCTAGTCCTTATATGAGTTTAAGCCAGTCCTTTCCCCCTGCCCACCCCCCATCAGGCCTTGCTTTTCCCTTCTGCAAAAGGGAAGGAGTGGGGCTCTAACCCCCAGGATCCTTTCAACTGAACATTCTATAATTCCAAGAATTGTCTGATTCCTCAAACAGCCACTTAAAAGCCTCCCGGGCAGTGGCTGTGTCAGGGAAGGGCAAGGCCAGGAAAGGGCAAGGCCAGGAAAGACCAATCAGAGGCCAGGAGTGTGTAGCCTCCTGGCAAATGTTAGAGGACCCATTCATTATCCAGGGAGTGACTACATCCAGTGAAGGACACAGCACTTCCCCACCTGTTTTCTCCACTGAAGCTGACGGAAGGAAAAAGAGTCTCACCAATTGACAGGTGGAGAAAATGAGGCTCAAAAGAGTAACTGACCAGAAATTAACTAGTGTCTAGGAGTCCTCATTGTCAGTATGCAGTTCTTCTCAGGCATGTAGTGAAAAAGGGAAAAACTCAGGAGGCAGAGTATAACTCAATCCCCAGTATCTCCATTTAAAAAATATTTTTTTAAAGGAAAAACGCAGGCTTTGAAAAATCAGTGGGCATTTTTATCGTGGGCATCTAATAAATATTTTATGGTGGGCATCTAATAAATATTAACTGAATGAATAAACAATCGGTCATGGAAAGAGGGTTCGAGGGAAAACCCAAAGGAGCTGTGTGCCAAAATAACTGAGATTCTGGGCATAGTCTTGCTGTGGGTGCCATCCCAGAGAAGGTCTATCCCTGGGGTAGAGGTGAGGAGTGGGGTGGTGGAAGGCATGTCGAAGAAGTCTCTGAAGAGCTGAGCTTTGCAGGATGGATGGAATTAAGAGTATCTCAGATAGAAATGACTAGAAAAACAGAAGGTTGCTCAAGGAGCAGGTGGGAAAGTCAGATTTCAGCTCACATTAAGGCATTACTCTGATCAGCAATCCCACTTCTGGGTATATACCCGAAGCAAACTCTAATTCGAAAAGATACGTGCACCCCAGTGTTCATAACAGCACTATATACAATAGCCAAGACATGGGAGCAACCTAAATGTCCATTGACAGATGACTGGATAAAGAAGTTGTGATATATTTATGCAATGGAATACTACTCAGCCATAAAAAGAATAAAATAATGCCATTTATAGCAACATGGATGGACCTAGAGATCGTCATTCCAAGTGAAGTAAGCCAGAAAGAGAAAGAAAAATACCATATGATATCACTCATATACAGAATCTAAGAAAAGAAAAATAGGACACTATGAACTCATCTACAAAACAGAAACAGACTTGCAGACATAGTAAACAATCCTATGGTAACTGGGGAAAGGGGTGGAAAGGGATAGATTTGGGAGTTTGAGATTTGCAAATGTTAGCCACTATATACAAAAATAGATTTTAAAAAAGTTTCTTCTGTATAGCACAGGAAACTATGTTCAATATCTTATAATAACCTTTAATGACAAAAATACAAAAACAAATATATGTATGTATATACATGACTGGGGTATTGTGCTGTACACCAGAAATTGACACACTATAATTGACTGTACTTCAATTAAAAAAAAAAAAGGAGTTACTCTGAGAAGGTATCAGGCAACCCTAAGGCAGTGAGTTTTTTAATCCTAAGTGGTATTCAAGCAAGCAGATGTAATCCCAGTGTGAAGTGGGGTGTGGTTGGACTAGATGAGTTTTAGTGTCTTTCCCAGGTCAGAGGTTCTGGAGCTGTTGCTAGGCTGGACTCAGGGGAGGCTGAGAATAAAGTTCTTAAAGGGTCAAGCTGGTCTTGATCTGCTGTACATCTGCTACTGCTCCAACAGCTGCCTTATTCCTCTGTCCATATTCTTGGGTTCCTAGGGATGGGGGTATAGCCCAATGGTAGAGCGCATGCTTAGCATGCATGAAGTCCTGGGCATGCATGAGGTCGTGGGTTCAATCCCCAGTACCTCCATTAAAAAAAAAAAAAAACAACTCATATTCTTGGGTCCCTAAGAATAATTAACTCCAAGTTTTGCAGCCTAGGGCTTTTATGGAAGGGACAGGAAAAAAAGAAAAAGACTATGTGCAGAGCCAGACTTAGGGGTTTTCTCCGCCCCCATCCCTTGTTGCTTGCTACTTTTTTCTAATATTCACTCTCTCCTGCTTCCTTTAATGATGAAACCCTGCCTTCCCCCAGTTTGGGCTAGCAGGTGGCTAAGCAGTTAAATACTACCTTTCCCAACCTCTCTTGTAATTGTGTGTGGTCATATGTCTAAATTCTGAGCAGATGTGATGTGTTCTGCTTTTAAAATGCCCTTAAAAATAAATTAGCATGGACTCACCTAGTCCCTTCCCTACTCCCTTTACATGAGCTGGATGTAGATGAGATGGCAGGTACTGGAGCAGCTAGCTTGGACCACAAAGTGGTAACCATGTTTCAAGGGTGACAGAAAAATGAGCCCAAAGTAGCTGGAATCCCTGACATAATGGAGCTGCCATTTTAGCCCAGGACTACGTACCCTTGGAGCTGTTATGTGATGGAAAGAGACTTTTCTATCCTGTTTTGTTTGTATCTTCATTACAGTAGCCTAAATCTATACCTCAATCAGTGGATCCTCTCAGCTCCAATCACATCTCTTATTCACCCCCATGTTCTTCTCAAAGTCTGGCTCCAAGACGGATAACACTAGGTAAGAATCTTTCTCCTCCAGCTGACTTCCCAGGACTCTGTCCTGGCAGCCCCTTGGCAAAGGGACCCACCTTCTGCTTGAGGGCAAGAAGAATCCTTGAACTTGAGGCCTGAATAACTTGGGGCAAGAACCCGAACGTTTTAAATCTCGTTTCTCTCTGTTTTGCAGATGGTACCAGTAAATAACATACCTTTCGAAAAGTGGTTGCATATGAAGATGACTTAATCAACAAGATTGTTATTCTAAGAATGGAGAGGAGTTGGGAAGTGGGCTTGTTTCAAGGGCAGCATTAAAGAAGCAAAGGAAATTCCCTTATACCCACTAAGAAACCACAGAAACATATGCACCAAAACACATGCGAAAAAAAAAAGCGTACATCTACACACCTATACAAAATTAGAAACTCCCTTCCCAAACTCATAACCAAATACAAACACTAGCCAACAATGCTCTCATTGGTTCATGCAAATGCAGACACAGGCAGGCAGAAAGGTGCACCCAAAAAGCCACACAAAGAGGGATGACAAAATAACACACACCACAGGCTGCAGCTGCTGTACTTTGTTTATTGTCACTGTCACCAGGGAGCTTTGGTTTCTTCGGCATCTTTCTTTTGGGGGGGTGGGAACTTCATGATTCTGCCTCTCTCTATTCTCTGCCTCTTGCTCCCCATCTTTTCCTTTTTCTGGGGCCGGGGGTGCTTCCTTGGTGGCCCCTTTGAGCCTCAGTCAGGTAGGGTAAGGCCTGGGGGTGGGGGGGCCAGCAGGCCTGGATCCTGCCCCCAGGTGCTGATTCCACGGTCCTGTCTCCATCGCTGTGGGGTGTCCATGCTCTGGCCTCATCTAGGGGAAGGGAAACAGGTGGTGAAAACACAGAGGCCTGGATTCTAACTCTGCCTCTCCTGCTTTCCTGCTCTGTGACTCCAGAGAAGGACCCTACCCTCTCTGGGCCTCAGTTTCCCACTCTGTAAACCAAATTTCACTCCAGTTGAAAAGAGTCAGTTTCTCTCTTTGCGCTTGTCACTGGGAAACTCAGAGTCAAATGAATGTCTCATTTTATTCTCTGTTGAGACCACAATTCTTGGATCCCTCCTCCCTGCCCAACCTTGCACATTCAGGCCTGTCCTTTCCAGGCAGAGGGAACTTTATTGGTGCTTGGGGCCCCCCAACTCCTTACCTTGTTCTGTCTCAGCGCCGTGCCCCTCGCTTCTTCCGCTCCGTGTTCTGGAGCTTGGTCATCAGTTTCCTCTCGTGCCCACCAGGGCTGGGGCGGTTGGTGTTGGCAGCAGCTTCTCTCTTGGTGCGACCTTTCCGGCCTCCCACCCCTGGGAATGGAGGCAGGAGTCCGAGGTGAGGTGGGCAGAGGGGTGCTGCCCCAAAGGACAGGCAGGGGGTCCAGAGTGCAGGGGTGGAAAGAGCTTGGGTTAAAGTTGGGAGGTGGAGGGGGCGTTGTCACCACATAGCTTTAGGGCAGCCATTGTCTCTGTTTCCTCGTCTATGTGAGGGACCCCTCGATTGACTGTTGTTGCTCCATTGAGTGTCTGAAGTCCCAGGGTTGAGTAGGACAGGCGCTCAGTGGATGAGGGGCTAGAAGGGGGTGACTTGAGGGCTCAAGGGAACAGGCTGGAGAGAGATGATGTGTGGGCAGGAACCCAAGGATGGATCCTAGTTTGGGGAGTGGGGTCAGACTGTTCGTGAGGGTGGGCATTCGAAGTGGAAGAACCAGGAATGTGGCAGGGCCAGGCCTTACCCAGGCAAGAATGAGCCAGGCTGTAGAGGTCATACTCGTCCAGGCTGGGTTCTTCGTCCTCTGGGCCGAGGGACTGCCTGGACGGGCTGGCTGCTCGCGGGAAGGTGGCCATAATGTCTAACTTACTCTTGTGTGAGCTCTCTCTCTCTCTCTTCTAAAGCTTTGTTTGTGTCTGATTTCCTGACACCTCCCAGTTCACTGGCTCCAACTTATAAAGCCATGTCTCCTCCTCCAGCCCACAGTCTGGCTCCAGCCCCTCAGGCCTTGTCTGATGCAATCTGGTCTTTTCCCAGAACCCAGCCCAGTAAACATCAGTCACGAGAGGGGAAAAGAGTGGGTCCCGAGAGTCCCAGCCCCCCTTGTCTCCTCCCTCTCACTGGGGCTCGCCCAGCTGGGTATTTTTCCACAGAGGAGATCCCCGCCCCTTTTGGGGAGGAGGTAAGAGGCAGGGTCTGGGCATAAACAGTCCTTGGGATCATTGCCAGCAGGGAACTGAGGGCCTCACCTGACTGACTCCTTCCTATCCATCTCCTGTCCTCCGCTGCCCATGTGCCCCTCCTGGGCTGAGGATCATGGCCACACAGCTCACCACCCCCATCCTAGAATTTCTGGACTTCTGGCTCAGATTCAGGGACACAACGGCAGAACATGGAGTGAAGAATGATCAGGGGAAAAGGATATCAACACACTATGTGTCATGTCATTGGTTCTCACACCAAGCACACTCAACACCCTTTTTATAAGAGACACATTGGAAAGCCCCCTTAACATCCTGGGCTGGAGGTCCCTAGGTAATCTCCTTCTCCTGAGAGGGAGGTTAGCAGAATGCTCAAGAGTGTAGATTCTGAAACCAAATGCCCTGAATTCAAACCTCTCATCCATTACTTCCTGTGTGACCCTAGATAAGTCGCTCTACCTCTTTGTACCTTAATTCTCTCCTCTGTAAAATGAGGGTGATAATAATTCTATCTCCCTCATAGAGTTGAGGAGAGGATCAAATGAGATAACCCACTTGCAACAGTGCCTGCTATAGTGTAAGCTGCACTATGTAAGTTAATGACACATGTGTATGTAAGTTTCTAAACAACTCAATATAATGCCCTCCTTGTAATGTAAAGAGACAGCAAAAGAAATTAATTTAAAATAAAATAATATGTATTTCAAATCCTGGACATACTCAGGTAGAAGATACGATGAAGTAAACAGATATTTATATTTATTTAACATGTATTAAAGGGAAAGGAATTCAGATAAGAAACACATGGAAGTGGAATTTTCCACTCTTGCCTAAAGGCTCTGACTATGTGGGTCACGTTGACCCAGTGTGGTCACACTTGGGTTGCCCACTCATGCTTTAGCTGAGGCTTGTGTCCCGCCTCCCAGCACCCCTGTGGTTGTCAGAGGGCAGAGAAGGAGGCAGACACAACAGCCCACTTTTGTTTTTTTTAAACACTGTGGTTTCCAGTTCAAGGGGACCTTCTCAGCTCAAGGCAGGTATGAATTCTCTGCTCACAGTCCTACTTTGCTGTGAGCCTACTGAAACCCTCCATCTCAATGTCACCTGAAAGTGATCCTTCCCCTAAACCCTGAAATAACCCAGTCTTGTCCTCTGTTGAACAAGCAGCAGCA